ATAACAATGTAGTAAAAAGTAATCTTTGAAAATATTTTTATTAATTGTCTTTCTCAACAAATACCACTGAAAATACACCAAATGCATATTTTTTTCAAACAAGCCATACGGCTGTATTTTAAAACAATGGACTGTGAGAATAAGTTCACTTGAAAAGCTCCAGCAGAACAGAGATCAAGTCATCTGTCAACTGTAATAATATACAATATAAAGTATAATCACAACAAAAAAATGCAAGTGATCAAGAACGAGTTTTTAAATTATGGCCTATGTAATGATAGAGGAATGGTCATGAGGTCACCAAAGTCATCATGTGCTTACAAGATTTCATGGCAATCTGCCAAATTAGACCAAATCAAATTTTACATTCTGGTATAATGGTTGTGCTACTACAGGGAACGTCATGAGGTCAAAAAAAAGACATGATTCATTGCTCAGCAAATTACAAAAATCGGTTCATAACATTCAAAAGTTTGGCCTGACATTGGTGCAAGAGGAAATGTCACAGGGTCACCGCAATCAAGGGGAGTCTCTCTTAAAAGGGTATGAATTCACTTCCCAAATATCATGTGAGCCCAGTAATTACATTTGGTAATATCATGCCAAGTTGACATTTTTGGCTAAGATTGGTGCTCCTATACTGACAGGTTTGTGTATCTTCAATGGCATGTGCAATGTGCTTACTAAATTGCATTGTAATCTAAAGACACAGTTTGAATTTTCCACAAGATAGAATGCACACAGATTTTATTGTGGTTAATCAAACAGCATACAAATAATACACAGATATAGACCTTATGTAGCCCTGTCCCTTTTCAGCACTGCGCTCGTTGTCTTTTGACTTCCGGTCTGTATTTTCACAGCGATTCTTGCAGTTTTGAATGAACGGCTCGTTTGAAAAATTTCCCGCTCGACATTTGTTAAGACATCTGCTTTACAATGCTTATGATAAACATTCCAATGCTCATGATAACTTTCGTTAACTCTACAATTACAAGTAAATCCACTTCACCAGCTAATTACTCCTCGACAGCGATGCCATAGAAATATAGAGAGCGACCGCAAAAACAAAAGTTCAAAGACAATATTCTAAAGATGGCGGCGCCCTCGTTTCTCTGGTGCATAAGGTCTGTAGGGCAAGTCCATTTCCTTCAACGCAGTCCTTCGTGCAGCTTCCATCTGGAGAATTACAGTAAAACAAAAAAGCAAGAATTAGAATAAGAGGGTGAATTTCATCTGTTTTAGAACAAATAAGGTGTGTAAAGCATTAATGAAATACACAATATAAATTATTATAAACAGTAACGGGGTTATTCCAAAAACAGACAAATGTACATATTAATGAATAAATGACCTAAATTGTGTTTTCCTCTTCATCCTCACTGGTGTCTGGACTACTGAGGCCACTTTGACATTCCTCTTCAACATGTAGAAGGACAGAAGCCTCAGGACCTAAAGCAGTCTTGTACTGTTGGAGGACAACTTGGAACCTTTCTGACACCTCTGCCAGTCTTCTTCTTAAGAGACAGCAAAGTCCCTCATTTCCCTTGTCTACGTCTCAAAATACAAAAGAGATAGATTACATTAAAGACAAACTATACTAAGATTGTTTCATTAGGCCAAAGAACTTAAATGGAGTAAAAAAGATATCCCCTATTCAAATCTACATAGCAGGATGGTTGGCATTTTTATGTGAGTTAATCGCTGACATGGGACCAGGCTCGCTTCTGTATAAAACGACTTGAGGCAACATGATAGCTCACTGAGGTGACTTTATGGAGGGAGGCCCAAAGTTTTGTGCCCATGTTTGTTAACTGTTAACTTAAAACAGCTTTCTTCACTACAGTTGTGTGCTGAATTAACAGATTGTTACTTGCTGACCAGCAAGGTTTTCTATGTTGACTGGAGGAGATAATAATATTGATGTTATGCTAACCCTATGTAACACATCAGGACACAAAGTCTAATGTTCAAAATTCTTTTGTTAATTTCAGCTTTCTAATAACAGCCATAGTACAACAAATCTGCACATCTTTCAAGCAAATGTGAATCTTTATAGTCTTACCGACTTGTTACAATAGCTACAGTAACAGGTTGAATCCCTATTTTATGTAGATGCCTAATGGATACGGCAATGCAATAACAAATCTACTCCATCCAAGTTCTGTGACTGAGACTGATGAGTGTTTTTTTTCACATTAGATGGATGGTGTTTTAATTTAGCTTACCCTCCTCAGCCAACTTGTTCTTGAGAACCATTGCCAGGCTCTGCAACCATGTACAGTGTTGTGAACACCAACACCAAAACTCTTGTTTCCTCATGCAGTCGCCTTGTTAACATCACTTGGTCATGCACTTGTTTCTTCATTGACATGTTTGCTAAGAATCAATTACAGTTATATGTATACATGAGACAATCTTGCATAATCACTACAAACATTGATTTTTTTTTTTAAATCAAATTTATACACAAGGAAACTGAAAATACACCATTAAAGTCCCTGTAAAGGCAATTCTACAAAAAAGTTCTAAACGCATTGTAAATGTTACATATGTATTGCTAAAACATTTTACAAAGTCTGTGAACTGTGAATTACTGAAATGTGGAGTTAGACCGTTAAACAGTTTTTCACCATTGCAATTTTACGGATTGTTTTGGCGGGGCTAAAACAGGGCTCGATGACACACTGGGGCCCATGAGCTCGTGGACAAGCCCCTATTTGATGACGCACAGAGTCTGATCTCTCCCCTAACAATAGAGCACATTCACCGCTCAATAACGAGTGACTGTCAGTCCTATTATTTACTACAGCCTACAGTTTTCTAGCTAGCTATTTGACACAGAAATGCATAGGCTATTACCTGGATGCGATCATGTACAAAACAGATCGGTATCTTCATTTAAATTCCCTAAAAACGATCACATCAAGAAGAGGTTTTTAAGAGAGCCAACCTTGTTGATGAAGAGCTGAGGATCACCGCCAACACCCGCCTTTGTAGTGACCGTTTTACACTGGATCGTTTTATAAACTTTCCTCAGAGACAACTGGGATTCACTGATAATCCGCTGTTACTGGTGAACGGGGCCGAAACGACGATCTCCCGCCTCAGCGTTCATCCTCCCGTCTCCAAAAGGAGAGTCCTTTCAAAAGGAACCCATGGCGACACACAGCAACCTCCATCCCCTCTTCATCCAATTTTGAAGCCCTCCTGGAAGTTTCCCTCGCTGCTGTCCAATGGGAGTCCCCACATGTGCCTCTTCCTTGTGTCTATGACACACAAAACAAACATGACAAATCAAATAAAAGCAATGCTGTCATTCAATATATGGCATTCATTCTCTCAATTTGATTTTGTAATTGGTAGGCCGGAGTAATTGAAGTGGGGGTTACGTTTATTATTGTAACAACTATTTTGCCAACTTGCATTTTTCACTGCTTTTTGTATGGTGTCTACAAATGTAGACACCGCACTGTCTTCAGCCACAAAGACCCCCTCAAAAAGCCAGGATCATCAGAGCTGAGGAAGAAAGAAAAATAGAAAATCCATTCATCTAATATATGAAGTAAGAAAATAAATAAATAAAAAGACTGGAAGAAAGATCACCTTCCGTTTCGACGAAAGCGATATAGCTTTCTGTTTCCATCTGCTGAAACTGCCAACATTTCCGGCGTGCAGGCTGGGCAGGTTAAAGGAGCACTACAGCAGAGCTGGTCTTCCTCAAAGGAAGTATAAGAAAGCTCTAAGAAGCTGCGCTGCAGGGCATCGCCATTGATAGGTCCAGACTGGAAAATATATAGAATGAAATAGTATTTTGATATTGTCTGCTTATGGATTTTTTTTTTTTAAATAGAAAATAACATTTACACTTACTCTTCCTCCACACTTAGTGCGATGTTCCAGCAGTTTTGCAAAGGCTTGTCTGGAGAATCCTGGAGAAATGATCTTGAGTTCCTTAAAGGAGCTCAGGAGGTCCAATGTATAAAGTGTGGAATTGGTGATGGAGGCTGGCCAATATCCACTTCTGAGGAGGTCCTTCATGTCAGGGGTCCACTGCTGCTTGCATGTTTGACATTCATACAGTGGCTGATGCAAGTCAAAGCGCCCTTGAAACAAAAATAAATATTAAAAATATAATACACACTTACCACATATTTAATTTTACAACACTTAGTTCATTATGCACATTATGAATGGTTGAGAGACATTACACAAGTTCCTATAATCCCACATTTATTTTTTTCTAATTCAATATATTCCACACTGCTGTGTTGACTGGACATAATGCTGAAAAGATGCTAATCTTTTTTTTTTTTTGTGGAAGAAAAAAAGAAAAAACATCAGTCTTTCTTTCAGTTATATATATATATAAATATACATATATATTATATATTATAAATATTTTTACCATTGATGGTAATTAAAATCACTGGTTTGCCTGGTAACATGGTGAAATTTGTGCCTCCACAGGAGCAGTCTGGAACCTTTACAGTTGGCAAAAATGCAAGCTGGCAAAAATAAGGAAAACCAATAATTTAGATGATCTGTAACTGTCTACAGACACACATTAAACAACAAAATTAAAGCGCTTTCTTGAGAAAGTACCTTGCTCATGGGTGCAATATCCATCTTCCCCTTTAATGATGCATGTGGTCGGAGGAATGGCTTCAAAAAAACCACGAATCACACATTCCCTGTTGTGGAGTGGCTGTTTTTTGTGATGCAATACATCACAGTCCCCACAGAACCACTCCTCAGGAAGACACTCTCTGCACCTAGGGCGAAAAGAAAATAATATAATACATTATTTCAGGTGAATAACTCATATAAAGTACTGTACACTCTAGTTAAGCTGTTTGACTTTTATAAAGTATGATTTAATTGTAATGGATTGCATAGTGGATCAGTGTTTAGCACTGTCACCTCACAGCAAGAAGGTCCTAGATTTACTTTTCTCATTAATGTGTTTTTCATCTGGGTATCCAAGTCTTCACCCATCTCAAAAGAGATGTATCTTCACCAATAAAGCAGGGCACTCAGCAAACCTACTCTGGGTAATTGAAGTTTTGTATTAATGAAAACCAACCTAATCACAGCAGGCTCGTTGCAAAGCCAATACAGGGGATGACCAACAGCCTCTTTTGACATAAGGCACTTTAGGTGGTATGGTCTTGCTTCTTTCCAGCGCTCTGAGGCTTTCTGCTGCCGAAAAGACCATGATGACGCAGAGCTACTTTGAGGCTGAGCAGCAGAAGGACATGACGCCAAAATATCAGAGAGCCTCTCCATATTTTTTTCTGTAAAGAAAATCAAAAAATAAAGCGGTAAGGGATCATTCACTATAGATAAGGAACAATTAAAAGTCAACTGATCAGTATCAGAATGAACACTTTTTTTATACTGTACATTCATAAATTCATCACTGTGAATTACCAAATTCCTCTTGAGGATTTAGTTTTGTTGAGGTTGCAGTAAGTGGAACCTCCACACTGGATGACAGGGAGCACTCAACAGTGGGGCATGTGGCTGTAAAACAAAATATATAATAATAAGAACAAGTTAGGCTATCACACTCTATACTTATTCTTCTTTTCAAACTATATACTAAACATTTTATGATATCAGACATATTTTTGTTAGGTACTTGGTAGTGTCTTCTACAGTGCCGGCCCGAGCCTTTTGGGGGCCCTAAGCAGAATTTGATTTGGGGGCCCCTCCCACGACGCGGAGTCACCTGTGTTTGACGATTATTGACATAAATGTCACGCAAAAATGATACATTATAAATGAATACACTGAGGTTATGTATTAATAAAAAAATAGATGCCTACTTAAATAAAAAAGTTTGAAAACAGTCTTAAAACTGTCTCAAAACATATACAATAAATTATTTGCTAAAATTATGACAAAACTGAGAAATTAAACGTAAGAGCAATGATACTTTGGCCTATCCTCCTGGGACCCAGGAATAGACTTTTGTCCACTGTAGTGGACATTATATTTTAGTGTATTTCTCTGACACCATGCATGTCACATTTTTTTTTTCTGGATGTCCTGTAAAGAGCACATTCAGGGCAATACAGAGATCAAATGTTTGGAGGTTTCACCATGAAAACAACTTCTCCTTGGTCTTTAAAAATGTCTAACATTAATTTAGTGATCAAATGTAGCACTCTTATTGAAATATGGTAATATATTGTAATTATAATTTAAATCTAACTACTTTTCAAATTGTATTTCATCAATCAACATCTCATGAAAATGTTCAAATGAAAAAAATGACTTTCCGTTACAGGGCATTGATTTCATTCATGTCCACTGTAGAGAACATCAGGACATAAATCATGTTTATCAGGCATTCTGGGAGACATAACAAGTGAATATGTAAATAAATTATACGTCAATATTCTTATGACATATTAGATATTATTATTAAAATGTTGCTTATTATTACGCCAATGCTTACACTTCTTTCCTCATTAAATGTTGCTCCAAGAACACATTAATGTGCAAATTAGATACAGTGTATAGATACTTTGCATTGAATGGGAATATTAATTTATTTAGCCAATTTTACCCATATATTGCATAAAGTAAATTGGTGTATCAATTAATTCCATTATATCTTTCATAACATAGTTGATAATCATCTTTATACAAATTTTAGTTCAAAAAAATCCTGAAACCCCAAAATGTATTGGTGATTGGAAAAAAAATCCCATTGTTTTTGCCTACACATTGTATGTCATTTAATTTTAACAACTGAGTCCTGGTGTCCACTACAGAGGACAAAGTATTACATATGAATAAAATATAATTTTTCAAAAAGGTTTTTTTTTGTTTTTTTTTTTACCATTTGTTTATTATGCTCTAAACAATGTGATGACATGAAAAAAAAAAACTAAATTAAAAAAAAAAAAAACTTTCTGGGTCTCAGGAGGCTATTGTTGAAAACTAAAAATATTACTAGCCTATTTCTCAACTGTCTCAATACAGAGTAACTATCCTCAAAATCTTTATTATTGTTATTATTATTATTGTAACAGACTTTGTTATATAGTACATGACATAATCAACACAGTCTATTACTATAATACCGGTTATGATGTTCTGGCGCTCGTTGTATGTGTGTATGCAATGTATTTTTCCCCTCGGGGCTTGCCGTAGATGGGTCGTGCGCACTTGCTAGGCTACTGGAGTGTCGCGGGTGTTTGGAGATCTGATGTGTGGTATAATAAAGTGGAGAAGAGTTCAAACTGCTATGTTTATTATTTATTCAAACTGCTACCCTTACACCTTGAAGGATAAGTTCTCCTGCGGGCTATTTTCTCCAACTTAAACCGATACCGTGACTAGGCGCAGTTGCGCACGAATTGTCTATGCACGCGCGAGGTGTCTAGAAGATTATGCGTCTGACTTAAACGCTGGCAGACAGAGCAGCAGTTGTAACTTGTAGGCAGGTATATTGACCATTAAATCAGAATTTTGTTGTCTTGAACTATTCATTCAGTCATATTCATTCATTCATTGATTTATGTCACTTGTTTAAGTCATCTAAAAAAATAAAAATTAAAAATTAAAACCTCGATTAGGGGGCCCCCTGGTGGCCAGGGGGCCCCAAGCAGCCGCTTAGTTCGCTTATGCCTCGGGCCGGCCCTGGTCTTCTACAATAGTGTCACTGAAAGGTTTATCTACTTTTTATATTTTAAACTCTCAATGAACAATTACATTGTTCTAATTTGAGTTAAACAATTACATTGTTCTAATTTCTAAATTGAGTTGGTCCAAACATTTGAGTTGGTCCAACATTGTCATAGTAAATTCAAACAAATGTCAAATAATTCAGATATGACCTGTAGTGGGGGCTTGGCGTCGCCCTCCTCGCCTCCCCCTCGGCTTACCACGTCCTACAGAGTCCCTTTTAGAGGTGTGTGGAGGGTCTCGTACATGTTTCCTCGCATCAGCTGCTCTCTGTGTATTGGAGTTAATATTTCTTGTAAGACTGATGTTGATAAAAGTACGGTAACCAAAAGGCAGGTAACTTGTGAAAGGAAAACACAACATAGTGTGTTAGTAAGGTGTTGAAAAGCTTAAATGAGCCTGGGAATATATTCCCCAAGTCTCTGTAACTCAAAGGGGATGGAACTGCATGTATTATTATTATTATTATGATTATATTCCCTAATTAACACGTCATAGAGCATGGCAGGATGCATCATGCAAATATACCTGTATTAAATCTTCTGCACTCATCATTCTTACATATTACTCATCCCATTTTACTTTAATTTGTTATGTTTGTTATAAAATGATTGAGGTGTACAAAAACTCTAACCTTGGCTTCAGCTAGAATGCGTTCATGTTTCAGCTCCAGAGCCATGCGTCTCCCCTCTTGATAGTGTGGATCGTTTGAATCAAGTTTATGCTTGGTGGCCATTGCAATGCAGTCATATACAGACTGACAGACAGACAGACAGTCAGATACAAACAGACAGACTGACAAAGATGGGTAAGACAGACAAGTAGAGTAAGACAGACAGGGAGGAAAGAAAGAGCAATAAATAAAGACTGTGAGATAGATAAAGATTGAAAAGATAGACAGAAATATATATAGTGAGAGAACAGAGAGAATGTAAGATATAGAAAGTAATGAAGAGATGGAGGTTGGCTCTTAAAAGTGCCTTTGGGTTTTTAAAATCAGGTTCAGATATGTTCGACAGGTGATATGTTTGACAGGATCTGCAGGGAGAACAACAAAAAATGTTAATTATGTAGCTATGTTGATAGGATTTAAAAAGTGTACCCTGTAATAGATTTTTTCTTATAAATGCTTAGGATAAATAAATACAGATTCATGCTGTTCCTATGCTTCCTGTGCTACTGTTAAAAATTATTTTAATGGCGCAATTAATATTATTAATTGTTATTTAAGTGAAATTACTGAACTTAAATATACAAGTTTGATAAAAAATCATCATTAAAGAAGAAAATTTCAAATGGCATTTAGAGGCTTTTGCATCTGAACTCTTCATATATGTATGTATATATATATATATATCACCTAGATCTAGGCCTAGAAAATGTTTTTATATATATATATATATAAACTCGTAATTTTATTAATTTGGACGTGTAATGCTTGAATTAATTTTGCTTAACAGGCTGCTGTAAGCGACTTACCGTGGTGGAATCGCGCTGGGCATTGGGCAATGGTTTCTCCGATGGTCGCACACAGTGACGTGTTGCTCAAAATTGCGCCAAAATATCAATCACAATTAAAAAGTGCAGTCTTAATATTTTATATCCGTGCTCAATTTTAAAGTGGTCAGCGTAAAAGTTAAAGTGAATAAAACACGAGTATGTAGACATTACATTTAACACATATCACTTCCCAGAATGCATCGCTTTGCCAAAGGATATGTCCATATAAAGCAATATAAATATTTCTGCAGTTTATTACAACTTCATAATACGTATTGGGATGAAAGTTCTATAAAAGTAGGCTAATCGTTTTTTTTTTTTTGTTTTTTTTGGAGAAAAAAAAATCAAAGTAGGCTCCATATAAGCCATTGCAAATTGAATTACCATCGACAAAATATCCCACAATAAATTAAGACGTGTTTTAAGCCTACAGCAAATATGCAATCCTGCAATTAAGTTATGTCGTTTTAATGTAGTCCAAAATTATGTCAAAAAGAGAGGGAAAAACTTCATTTTCCCACAAATAAGGCATGTTTTAAGCATATAGAAAATATACTGTCCTGTAATGTAATTTTAATGGAGCCCCAAATTATATTATTATTTAATATATTATTGTCAAGTGACGAATAGCGGTGAGACCATGTTCCAAAGAAAGACGTGGTGCAGGCACGGAAAATACGTCCCTTTGAAATACATTAGATTTGAAATTCGTGTTGTCTGGCACGAAAAAAAGGGAGGAAATTCATGCTTAAGGACATGAATCACTTCAGCCAACCGAATATAAAGCAATTAAAATCGTCTGAATAAATGTTGAGTAATGTAGCCCAGTTTGCAAAATGAATAACAATTGAGAAAAAACAATACTGTGCTGCTATCGAAAGAAAAACGTGGTGTAGGCACGAAAAATACGTCCCATTGAAATACATTGGATTGAAAGTCGTGCTGATTGACACGAAAAAAAGAAGGAAATTCGTGCTCGTAGACACGAATCATCATTTGATTGCGTATAGCCCACCGAATATAAAGCAATAAACAAGGATTAAAATCTTCTTATTTAATTGTTGGTAGTGTAGTCTACCCTTAAAGTTTGCAAAATTAATAAGAATTGGAAAAAAACAAACAAACAAACAAAAAAAAACAATACTGTGCTCTCGAAAGAGAAACGTGGTACAGGCACGAAAAATATGTCCCATTGAAATACATTAGATTGAAAGTCGTGCTGAGTGACACGAAAAAAAATAAGGAAATTCGTGCCCGTGGACACGATCATCATTTGATTAATGTTGCGTAGCCCACCGAATATAAAGCAATAAAAACAAGGACTAAAATATTCGTATTAATTGTCGGTAAAGCAGTGTACCCTTGAAGTTTGCAAAATTAATAAAAATTGAGGAGAAAAATCCTCTCGAAAGAAAAACGTGGTACAGGCACGAAAAGTATGTCCCATTGAAATACATTGGATTGAAAGTCGTGCTGAGTGACACGAAAAAAAGAAGGAAATTCGTGCCCCCAGACACGAATCATCATTTGATTCATGTTGCGTAGCCCACCGAATATAAAGCAATAAAAACAAGGATTAAAATCTTCTTATTAATTGTTGGGCCTCGTGTAGTCTACCCTTGAAGTTTGCAAAACGAATAAGAATTGAGAAAAAACAAAACAATACTGTGCTCTCGAAAGAAAAACGTGATGTACGCACGAAAAATATGTCCCATTGAAATACATTGGATTGAAAGTCGTGCTGAGTAACACGAAAAAAAGAAGAAGGAAATTCGTGCCCATATCACGAATCTTCATTTGATTCATGTTGCGTAGCCTACCGAATATAAAGCAATAAAAACAAGGATTCATATCTCCTGATTAAATGTTGGTAGTGTAGGCCTACCCATAAAGTTCGCAAAAGGCACGAAAAATATGTCCCATATTGAAATACATTGGATTGAAAGCTGAGTGACACGAAGAAAAAGAAGAAAATTCGCGCTCGTGGACACGATCATCATTCATGTTGCGTATTAGCCTAGCGAAAATAACGCAATAAAACAAGGATTAAAACCTTCTGATTAAATGTTGGTAGTGTAGGCTACCCTTAAAGTTTGCAAAATGAATAAGAATTGAGAAAAACAATACTGTGCTCTCGAAAGAAAAACGTGTTGCAGGCACGAAAAATATGTCCCATTGAAATACATTGGCTTGAAAGTCGTGCTGAGTGACACGAAAAAAAAGGGAAATTCGTGTCCACGAACACGAATCAATAGATTAAATTTCGTGACTATATCACGAACTGCCGTGAGACTGGGTTGTAAGGGAAGGGGCGAAAGATTCGAGTTCCAGCAGAGCGAGCACTTTTGCTCCCGCAAGTAATGCTGACATTAGTTTTTAAATTTCATCCAAAAATCAATGGTAATGGCATTGAATCATGTTACATGATTCATAAAAGAAGACAATGCATCTCTGAAGATCTGATTAAACACCTCCACAAACAGCATTACCAGCTTCACTTATTACTAAACAAACTGACTTTATCTCTGCCAGACGTCAGCAGAAGCTCTTATTGAGAATGAACAGAGGTTTATATGTTATTTTATTCAAAATGTTTGGTCACCTTTACACCATGTCATTTTTATGTGAGTTATGGTCTTCTATGGTCAGTGTATACTAAAACACATAATATGTTGCAAAAGGAACCAGAAACAAAGATGATCAGGTCATATAGTTTTCAGCATCATAAAGTAGAATAATTCAGTAATCTTATCACTGACCAAGAGTGGTTATTTATTATTAACAGATTATTTTCATCAACAAAGCTTTCTTGTTACAGATACTTATGAGTGCATGAGCCGCACGGAAAACGCGTGCATACTAGAAATAGAACCGACGCCTATTTTTCAAGCGACACGCAAGCGTGTTGGAAGCGTTTCCAGGCAAAAGAAAAAGAATGTTTATATGTCAAATATTTCCATTATTTTTGCCTATATATAATTTCATGAATTTTTTTTAAACAATCGAGTCCTGGTGACCGAGAACTAAATCGCACGTACACACACATGAGCTTTTTATATCTTCCTGCTTCGCATAAAATGCTGTATTCTATTGTATTTTATTTTATTTTATTTTCATGGGATTTTATTTATTTCCCTCATATTTTAATTTGGAAAAATAAAATGGAAAAAGTAAAATGGAAAAATGTGAAGGTGTGAGGAAATGGCCATCTAGCGGCTTTAGTGGAAATGTCACGTTATTTTATTTTTTGTTTGGTTTCCAATAGATGGCAGCAATCGTCCATTAATCATGGCACACGTTTATAACATAATCAATGGCTTTCATCTGATGTACTAGATGTTCTATGCACAGCAGGAATGCAATAAAATACATTGCAAATAAACACTAGGCCTAATTGAAATGAATAAAAATCTAAGTATTCTCCCTGTGAAAAGATGCATCTTGATTTATTATTTTTATTGATTTATTGATGTGCAAAGAATTTCTCTGACACCTGAGAAAATTCTGCTTTTTGATTTGCAAATAAAAAAAATTACTGTAAAAAAAAACTTTAAAAAGTGAGACCTGCACTATTGTGGTGCGTGCAAAACAAACTAGTTATTGCTGTGACAGAAGTCATTTATGCTTAGTTAGATCAATAGCCTATATCAATAGCAATCATATGAAACAGTAATGTCATCTCTTCAATGCATATCGAATTAAGTTTAAACGAATATTGCAATGCAATCATAACACATATGTTGTGTTATCTCGCACAACGGAATGTTATAACGAGTAGTTGCTTTGCATTGCAGTCAAGCTGTGTTATGCACAACACTATAGTTTCTATAGTAACTTCTTATATACTATGCAATGAAATAAGTGCATAGTTTATTCTTCAATAAACAACGCAGATGTGTTATTTCTTCATTGTACTAGTAATTTTATGCATTCTTGTCACAGTGTCTGGTTGTGTTCCCTTGTTTATCACTAGAGGTCCTCGTTCTCACGGTGTCCTTCACTTCAATGTGAAAAATTGCAGGTTTTTTAACAACAACGTTGGGTCAAATATGGACGAAAACAGACATTGGGTTAAATTTTTATTATTACCTTTTTAACCCAACGTTTGGGTTTGTCCATATTTGACCCAAAGTTGCATGTTTGTCAAAGTTGCACCCAAACAACCCAGCTTGTTTAGAGTGTAATGCAAGCAAACATGTGAAGTGTTATTCTTAAATGGTGCATCCAGTGGTTTTCTCTTCAATGCGCAGGACAACTTCCTGGCTAATAAAACATCAATAGTAACCTAATGATCAAGTGCCATTTGACCAGAAATTATCTAGTACTCGTCTATGTTCAGTAGGTCAGAAGGACCTGTTTTTCTGATATAACATCAGAAAAAAATGTTTCTATTGTTTAAAACCTTTTGAGGATCCTTTGACCTGAAATGAGTTCAATATGGACATTAGAAGGTTGGGCTGAG